GGGAAGGAAAGGGAGAGAAGTGGGATCAGGCATATAATAAATAAATATGATATGTATGTGTAACCACCCCAAATGATTATAAACCACATGAACTACAAACACGTCCTAATAAAACTTTTTAAAAAGAAAAAAAATCAGTCTCAGGAAAATAATAGCATAATGAAAAAGGCATAATCACAGATTCCAGAAGAAATACAGAAAATTATCAGTAACTATTTTGAAAAACTATAGTCTAATAAAATATAAAACTTGGAAGGGGAAAAATTCATTGATACACATGAACTACTAAAGCTGAACTAAGATGGTAAAAAAAATAAATAACCAATATTAGTCAGTAAAATTGGAGAAGTAGTAAAAAAACTAACAAATAACAAAATCTTGGGTCCTAACAGATTTATGGGAAAATTCACAGAGAATCAAATACCAATACTCCTAAAACTCTTTAATAAAATTTAAAGGTAAACAGTTCTCCCACAATCATTCCTAGAAGCAAACATTACTATGATTCCAAAACAATAAAAGACAAAACCAAAAAAAAAGACAACCACAGACCAATCTCTTCAAGGACCTTAAACATGAAGATACTCAAAAGAGATAAGGCTTAGTGGCCCATGGCTATAATCCCAACACAAGGAAAGCTGAAGCAGGAGGATTGCTTGGAGTTTGAGGCTAAGATGGGCTACATAGTGAGTTCAAAGGTATCCTGAATTATATAGTGAGACCCTGTTTCCAAAAAAAAAAAAGTTAAAAAATTTAAAAATTCTAAAGAACATACTGGCAAACATAATGTATCAAATCATCAAAAAGATCATACATCATAACCAACTAGGATTTACTCCAGGAATACAGGGATTGTTTAACATAATGTCTTAGTTATTTTTCTCTCATTGATGAGACAAAACAACCAACATTATTTAACTCCCAGTCTGTGGAGGTTTTAGTCCATAATCAGCTGGTTCTAAGGCAAGGAGATATGGCAGAATGGCAGCTTCCTGATGCCAAAGACACCAAAGCAACAAGTGTAGAAGATGACTTGGAAACCTCTCCTTGAACGCCGAACAATTACTGCAGCATTGGGTAAATCAAGTCTTATTTTTATATGCTGATATGTATAGAGCAGACTATGCTATTTTATTTTTTTAATTGGCTCTAAGCAATGTAAGTAAGGCTAGGCAAGTCACTGATAGGTAGTGCTTGAAGCCAATCTGATAGTTTTTTGTTCTTTCACATAGTGTTCTCTGTAAAGGATTGAGCACAGAGGAACAGCAGAACCAGTAGGCTCTAAGAATGGCAGCTGGATATGAGCCTCAAAGTGAGAGGCTATGACTTCACAGGGCACAACAATATACATATCAGAAACTAAAACAACAGCCTCCTAAAACCCCCTAATTGAGTTATGCACATTGATCTTCTGCCTGTCATTTTCCCCGCATATTGCAAAGATGCTTTCTTCCCCACCCAGCTGCCCAGCTCCAGTTACTAACATAGCTTCTGCCTTCCTCACTATCACTCATTTTGGACCCACTCCGTTCTTCACAAATAGGAAATTTTGAGAGAGGCATTGGGTTAGGGCCTTCGTCTATATGTCCTCTCTTGGGTGGGACTTAGTAGCCCGTAGTTACCCATAACTTTGAATATGTCTTAATGTCTTTGCTCTCATCATGGGTAACACTGAAGATAGTAGATTTGAATTAACCCACTGGAATTTTAATACCTTTTATGAGATTACAAATATAACTTTTCAGATTATGAGATGCATTAGAAAAATAATTAAAATATTTGCATTACAAAAAAGTAAAAAAGGAACAAGCCTTTTTCTGTCCCTTATATTGTATACAGGCTATTTGCCCTAGTTTAAAGAATCAAAAAAATAGACATCTGAAATAAACTGACACCTCTCAGGTGAGGAAATACAACTGTCCAAGGGACACATGAAAAAAATGTTCAATATCACTGGTCATTTGAGAAATGCAAATTAAAACACTGACATTCCATCTCACTGGGTGTGGTGGGGTAGGACTATAATCCCAGCACCCAGGAGGCTGAGACAAGAGATTTGCTGTGAGTTCCAGGCCAGCCTTGGCTAGTTAGATTAAGGCCACTCTGAACTACATAGTGAGACCTTCCCTGAAAAAAAAAATTCCATCTCACCCCAGAAACAATGGCTACCATCAAGGAATCAACCACTAGCAAATCAGACAAGGCTGTAGGGAGAAAGGAACACTTCATTAATGGTGGGATTGTAAACTGATACAACTATTGAAATCAATACAAAGGTTTCTCAAAAACTAAAAATAGAAATTCCATTTGACCCACATATTCTCCTTTTAGATATCATCCCTAAAAGAATTAAAAGCATCATACCACAGTGACGTATGTACAGTGATCTATATACAGTCCCCAACTCACAAATGAATTTTATTCTGGAAGAATGTTAATAAGTCAGATTCATTTGTAAATTTAACAAAATGAGTCTTACGTACCTTGGACACAAATATACAATGTATAGCACAAAAAACAAATTTACACACAAAAATACTGTAAGTTCCCAACTGTATATTACTGTTCTCTATCACACTGTACAGTAAATGCAGAACTGCATAACTGTGACAATATCTCCCAGACCTGCCAGTTACTTCCACAATTTGTTCACATCCCTGAATGTTTGTAATGCAAGGTCTGTTCATATCAATGAAAATTTGCAACTTGAATGTTCGTTAAGACAAGGATTTACTATACCCATGTTTATAGAAGCACAGTGCATAACACCTAAGTCTTAGAAACACCTTGGAAATATCCCCGTCAACAGAGGATGGATTAATAAAAGTGGTATTTATACACAATGAGGCAGTATTTTGCAGTAAAAAAAAAAAAAAAAAAAAGATGAACTTGGGCCAGGGAGATACCTCAGTTGCACAACACCCCTCTGGAAGGCCCAAATCAAGTGAGAGTTTGATCCCCAGTACCAAACAACAAGAAAGAAACAAATGAAGGTGAATTTCTGCTATCTGTAGGAAAATGGATGCACCTTGAGACCATAATTTTAAGTGAGGTGTATAAGATACAAAAGTTTGAACATGACATGCCTCATATGAAAGTTAGTAGGAAACAGACTGAAGAGAGAAAAAAGTCATTGCATTTTAAGTATGTTTCTACCGTCAGTTTCTAATTCACCACCAACATCGTATAAGATACCACATTACTGGATTTCCATTTCTTTGAAAATGTTGAAGGCTTTATTGTTATGATTATTGTACATGATATGTTTTGAAATTTTTGAAGATTCCCAGAACAGGGCCAGGTACATAACTTAGCAACATGTGACTGTCTGGCAAGTGCAAGGGCATGAGTTTGATCCACAGTACAAAAACAAAAAAAACTAATAGGTGAATCTTGGACTAGGTACATCACACTCAGTATTGACTCAGCACTCAACACATCACCAGTCCCTGTCCCAGAAGCTGGAATACAATCAAGGCAATAAAGGCCCATATCCTAAAGGAGCTCCCAACCACACACAGGGAAACAGGAGCAAAACTGTGAAAATAATGGCAGTGCGTGGGAGGGAGGGGCTCAATAACCCCGTAACCTCTTGCTCTGTCTAGGGGAGGAAAGAAAGAAAGAAAGAAAGAAAGAAAGAAAGAAAGAAAGAAAGAAAGAAAGGAAGGAAGGAAGGGAAAGAGGAGAAGAGAAAAAGGAGGGAGAAGGAAGGGAGGAAAGAAGAAAAACGGAAGAATGAAGAAAAGAAAGAAAGAAACAATAATATGTAAACCACCACAGAAATATAGCTGCCAGGGGATGGAAGGGTGGTGATGTACATGTGGAGAACAGAGATTTTTCCAAGGTATCAAACACCTATGTAGGATACTACAGTGGTAAATGCAAGTTATTATTCATTTGTCCAGTCCAAAGAACTGCACAGTACACAGTTAACCCTAAGGTACACTATGGAATTTAGTTAACAATGACACATAAATACTGATTCATCAGTTGTAACAAGTGTATAGCTCCAAAGTAAGATGTTAATAATAGGGGAAAATAGAAAGGAGGACCTATCATTTTTATTTCTCTTTATTTTAAAGATGATAAAACCAAGGAAAGTAAAACAGATAAAACCAATCAAAATAAGCTTCTGTAAGTAATACAGGACTTCAAAACCTTACAAAATTAGCAATAGTTACCATAATGCCTTTTGTTGTCCTCAAAATAGCTGCAGATAAGAAATCTGACCTTTCTGCCTACTTTCTGTAAACCTAAAACTGCCAACAGAAATAAGGTACATTAACTTTGAGAATGCATAAATGTGTTTACATGAAATACTTTAAAAAATCTTCAAGGTGACCAAAGGCTAACTTTACAGAATGCCTATATTTCAGTAGTAATAAAGGGCAGACAAAAAAAGTTTTCTGTTTGTTTCTTTGTTTATGATACTGGGAATTAAACACGGGCTCAAATCAGTTCTTGAAAATTCATCTGGGCATGGTGGTGCATCCTTCTAATCTGAGAAGCAGGAGGATCACAAATTCTAGCCCAACCTGGTCAACTGAGTAACTTAAGCACACAGTGGCTCAAAATTTTTAAAAAGGCTGAAGATGCAGCTCAGAAGAAAGACCCGGGCTCAATTCCTAATACTGCAAAAAGAAAGAAAACAAAAAAAAAAGAAAGAGAGAGAGACACAGAGACAGAGGAAAAAAAAGAAAGAGAGAGAGAAAGAAATGAACAAACAAACAGGGACAGAGGGAGGAAGCAAGGAAGGAAAGAAAGAAAGAAAAGAAAGAAAAAGAAAAGACATTTCTTCACACATAAGCAATTGAGACTGTACTCTTTCTGCAAGGTGAGACAATAGTCTCATATCTATCAAATGCTTTTTTTAATATAAACATTTTAATGAAATAAAATTCCACAATATTATTTCTTCAAATGTCAACGTCTCCCTTTAAACCCTGCTTTAGATACACGCACAGCCTATGACACTGCATCTTTGTGACATTCTTTCCTACCTCTGTCTCCCACACGCTCCTTCACCCACTCGGTGGCTGCAGCGATGCTCTCTGTCTGGGTGACATCCAGGATCACTGTCTCCAGCCGTTCTGATGCCCGCTTCCTCAGCTTCTCAGCCCCTTCTTCTGTCAGACATGCGGCCAGCACCCTCAAGCCTCTCATGTCCAGCTGCCTGGCCAGCAGGTTCCCGAAGCCCGAGTCACAGCCCGTGATGAAGACATACTTGTCGTGGAGGTGGCTCACCACCTGCCTCTCCCGGTACCAGCGCACGAGGTAGTACAGACCCACGAGGGCTGCCAGGTACAGCAACATGACTTCACAGAAACCAAGAACAGGACAAGACAAGAGCCTGCTCTGTGTTCAGCCAGAAGGAAAAGAGGAAATGAGATCCTGATCTGCTGTAGAGTGTGGCAGCCTCCAAACAACCTAGCATGAAATCTATGACTACATTTTAATCATTGACTTGTGGAATATTGATTTTGATCCTGGTTCACCTCTCTACACTATGCACTGCTTTTGGTTTGTGGTTCTGTTTTGTTTTGTTCTGTTCTGTTTTGTTTGAGGGTTTTGGGGGGTTTTTTTGTTTTGTTTTGGGTTTTTTTTTTGTTTTGTTTTGTTTTTTGGTTTTCTTTTGCTTTTGCACTGGTGATCGAGCTTACCATGTCATGCTTGTAAGGGAGGTGCTCAGGTCACTGAGTTAAATTCCCAACCTGGTTTTCACATTTTTTTATCTGGGAAGTTTCTTTTCATTTGATTTCTTGCTGTATATTAATTTTTGTTGTGGCAGGGTCTCACTGCTGATTTCTATCATTTAGAAAACACCTAAGCCACTATTTCTCAAACTCTTTAATAAAGCTGAAATGGAAGCAATACTCCCAAATTCATTTCAGGAAGCAAACATCACCCTGATACCAAAACCAGAAAAGGGCTCTCAAGAGGCTGAGGGAGGAGGATCGCTGTGAGTAGAAGGCCATCCTGGGCTACAAAGTAAATTCAAGGCCAACATAAATCATATAATGAAACCCTACTTCAAAAAAAAAGACCAAAAGAAAAAGAAAGGAAGGATCACTAAGAAAGAGAATTTCAGGCCAATTTCCCTAGTGAACATAGATGCAAAAATTCTCAATAAGATACTGGCAAACAAAATGCAGCACATCATCAATACTATACATGATGATCAAGAGGAATTCATTCCAGGGATGCAGGGATGGTTCAATATATATAAATCAGTAAATGCAATACACCATATTAACAGAGCCAAAGACAAAAATCATATAATGATCTCAATAGATGCAGAGAATTCCAGCATCAATTCATGATGGTTAAAAAAACAAGAACCCCACATAAAATTGGATTAGATGGAGCTGGGAGGGTTAGTTCAGTGGCACAAATATCTGCTAGGCAAGCGCGAGGTTGTGAGTTTGATCTCTAGTATCAAAAAAGAAAAAATGAAAAAAATGGAATGGATGGCTTTTATCTCACTCTCACTAAAGCCATTTCTGACAAACCAATAGCCAATATCATCCTAAATGGACAAAAAACTGGAAACTTTCACTCTAAAATTAGAAATGAGAAAGGATGTCCACTGTCTCCACTCTTATTCAATATAGTCCTGGAAAATTTAGCCAGAGAAACTAGACAAGAGAAAGAAATATAAGGAATAAAGATAAGAAAACAAGAAGTTAAATTATCAGTACTTACAGATGACACGATACTGTACATAGAAGGCCCCAAAAACACCACTAAAAAAAACTGGTAGATTTAATAAGCAAACTCAGTACTGTAGTTGGATACAAAGTCAACAGTCAAAAAATCAATAGCCTTCCTGTACATGAATAATAAACTCACTGAGAAAGAAAGCAGGGAAACAATACCTTTCCCAATAGCATCCAAAAATATGAAATACTTAGGAACCAATCTAACAAATAATGTAAAAAATCTCTACATTGAAAACTACAGTAATCTGAAAAGGAAGACTGGAGAGAATATCATAAAATGGAAAGATATTCATTGTTCTTGGGTAGGAAAAAGCAAGTTAGTGAAAATGCCCATACTTTCAAAATTGTAATACAGATTTAATTCTGATCTAAATTCTAATATCACATCTCATAGAATTAGACAAAACAATCTTAAAATTCATTTGGAGCCAGAAGAGATCTAGAATAGGAAAGGAAATTGTGGGCAACAAAGGGAACACAGGGAGCATCACAATCCCTGACTTGAAATTTTACTATAAAGCTACTGTGGTAAAAACAATGTGGCATGCCAGGGGGTAGCTCAGTGGCACAAGTACCTGCTTTGCAAGCGCAAGGTCATGAGTTCAATCCCAGGTACCAAAGAAAAAAAAAGAGCACCCTAAAGATCAACGGAACAGAATAGAAGATGCAAATAAAACTCCAGACACACTAAGCCACCTTATCTTTGATAAAGGGGCCAAACACATTCACTGGAAGAAAGATAGCCTCTTTAATAGATGGTGCTGGAAAAACTGGCTCTACACATGCTGAAAATTAAAAGTGAACCCACATCATTCAACATGCCTTAAACTAAATTCAAAATGGATCAAAACCTAAATAACAGAAACATTAAATCCAGTGAAAGAGAGAATACATAAAACTATTAAAGACATTGGTGTAGGCAAATTCTTTATTAATAAAGCCCCAGTCTCCCAGGAGCTATCACAAAGATCAACAGTAGGATCTTATCTTATTGAAAAGTTTTGCACAGCAACAGAAACCACCAATGAAGAGTCAACCTACAATATTTGCCAGCTCTTCCTCAAACAAAGGATTACAATCAAAAGATACAAAGAACTCAAAAAAATCAGACCTCTCACATTTAAAAACCCGATCCAAAAATGGGCATCTAGATGAATACATACTTCTCAGATGAAGAAATACAAACATCAAATAAATGTATGGAAAAATATTCAGAGTGACTGGTCGTTTGAGACATGCAAATTAAAACAGCCCTGAGATTCCAACTCACTCTGGAAAAAATGACTATTATCAAGAAGTCAAGCAATAACAAATACTGGAGAGGCTGTGGGGAAAAGGGACACTTCTCCACTGTTGGTAGGAGTATAGACTGGTGTGACCTCTCTGAAAACAGTGTGGAGATTTCTCAAAAAAACTAGGACTGAAAGTCCCATTTGACCAGCTATTCTGCTTCCTGATATCTTCCCAGAAGAATTAAAAGCATTGTACCACAGTTTCTAACAGCACAATTTATAATACTTAGATCTTGGAAACAACCTAAATGCTCATCAACAGAACAATGGCTAAAAAAGATATGGCATTTTTATAGAGCAACATACCACTCAACCATAAAGAAGGATAAACTTGAAACGTTTATAGGTAAATGGATGCAACTAAAGGTCATGCTCATACATGAAAGAAATCAGACTCACATGTGTATTCATATTGCCTCCATAGTGTAAAAGTTGATATATATATATATATAAGAAATTAGTAATCATATATGACAGTTATGCTACTAATTTCACTCACTGAAAAGAAAGCTTTATGCTAATATTGCTTGAAGAATTAAATGAAGACTCTTGCACTATAAGAACTAATCCAAAAATAGCAATATACAGTGTATTAAACATTGTTACCCTCTAATTATTGTTTTGAAATTTTTTTCTCTTTAAAATAATAAGTAAACAAATAGATGTGAGGACAAACCCTGATAAATATATAGCATGTTCTTTAGTGATTAAACATGCATGTTCTTCAGCTAGATTTTCCAATTCTCCATTTAGTGTCTCCCACACTTATCAGCTGAGTTATTTTAAATAAAGTTTTCTGGTCCTTCCACATTCATAAAACAGGGAAAATATTAATACCTACCACATAGAGTTCTTATGAAGAAGAAAGTCTTAAAAAGTACTTGATGGGAGAGCTAATGCGATGTAAATATCAGGTGTTATTATTACCTGTCCCGCCTCATTAAAAAATAACTAACGCTAAGTAAATCAAGTATTGTCAGAGTCTATTCATGCTGCTATAATTAAATTCCATGGAATTAGGTGCCCTGTACACAATCAAACTTTGTTTCTCACACTTCTAGAGACTGGGGGTCTGAGATCTAATACCCAGTAGATTCAGTATCTCCTAACATTCTGCTTTCTGGTTTGAAGATGGTGCTTTAAAGCTGTTCTCCTGAGATAGAAGAGAAAGCCAGGTCTCTGGGGCATGATAAGGCCTCATCTGGTTGAGAGGATAGAGGCTTTCTAAATGATGTCCTCCCAAAGGATTCTCCTCCTAACTCTAGGTTCCAACATAAATTGTAGGAAACATTAAATATTCAACAGAAATATCATAGGAAGAAAACTGAATGGAACACTCACTTTTAGTTACTTTTTCTTCACAAATTACAGAGGTCACAGCTAAACAGCATATTGCTATTAACTTTGCTGTAGATCATTAAGATTTGTTTATGATTCTTAAAATCAACCAAGAAGGGTTTTGAAAACTTCCACTTTATACTGTTGCTCTCAGTCAGGCATGGCAAAAAGGAAATTTGCATTTCAATAAGTAGTCAAACCCAAAAGCAGCAGGGTATTAATGCATCTCTCTTTTTCCAATATTTTTAGGGTTTTTCAACAGAAAAAAAAAGTAAACTGTGTTTGGACATGATCAGATACAAACAGCTAATTCCTGCTCTGAAATATTCATGGGAAAAAATATTCTAAACTCACACCCCTACTGATCACTTGGTGATAAAATTAGCCACGTTTGTATGGTCAAGGTGTGGGCCTTGTGAGATTCACATGCCTTGGGCTGTTGTAGAGGCAGTGAGAAAGTAGAGCTTAAACTGGAAATAGCACAATACGACTGTCACTCAGCACTCTAAAAGACTGAGTAACATCAGAAGGTCACGAGTTCTAGTTCAGTTAGAGCAAATTAGCAATTAACAAGACCCTATCCCAAAATGAATAATACAAAAGGCTTGCAGGTATAGCTCAGAGCAGAGGCTCTTGGTTAAATCCCCAGTACAACAACAACAAAGTACATGGAATATGGAGAGGAAACAGGATGAACAGTACCATTAGAATCTGTTTTTACGATGGTGTTCTATGCCGCAAATCTACAACTATTTATTCATTTTATGGTTTAATAATTTTTATTTTGCAATAACTATTTGAGATAATAGGCTTTTAAAGTGACTAAATTCAAAATTAAATAGTGAATCTCCATTTCTTTAGACAATTAATCATGCATATAACTTGCTCAAAATATTTTGGACTATAGACACTGTTCAGGTCTACACTCCCAGCTACTCACAGACTGAGGTGAAAGTGTCACAAATTAGCTTGAAAATTCTTCTCTTCGATTCAGAGAAACATCACATATTGGCAAAGTGCCACTCCCTTAATGTTGGAAGTTCTGGGCTTTGAGGATCAGCGATTCTTGGCCCTTATTATTATGACCCTGAGCTTTCTATACTACTACCTCTTGGCTCTCAATGTTGCATCCTGGTGGTTCCCAGCCACCCATCTCAGCTCCTCAGAAGCTTTGTGGTGCACATGCCCCAGATTCCATTGTCCTGTGCAGGTCTCCAGCACTCTCCGAAGGCCCTCAGTACTAATAGTCTCTTGTGTCACCAGCTTTTATTGCAAACTCTGCAGTCCACTCTAACCAAGGTAAGAATTACAAGTACACAATAAGACAACTCAAATTAGATTTTCATTGTTACCTGTCTGAACGTTAAACAATGATGCCACCACTTTTCAGGAGTCTCCAGGAGTGGAAACCATGCTGATCATGACCAATTGAGGTCTGGATGTTCCCAGAATAAATAATGTGCCCGCGTCCCTCTTCTTCTCTGTCCAGCCAGATGGGTCTTCCATCAGCTCCTCAGATAGGCAACAGCACCAAGAACACCCAGAACCAGGAGGAGCTGTCAGGCAAGTCAGCAAGAGCAAGGGTACTAAGACCGTTGTCAAAGTAACAATACAACTGGCTGGAAATTGTAATCTTGGTAAAGCTAGCACGCATGTCACATAGGAAGTATAATGGCATGGCACCACTCTATGAGATCACACCCCTTATGGACGTTAGTTGGAAAAGAGAAGGTAGTGACACTTCATTTTTTTTTTTTTTTTTTTTTTTTAGTCTAACCTCAGGAAAAATTCTTCAGACCAGGAGATCAAGACCAGCCTCTAAAAGGCTTTACAATTCATAGGCCCATTTTAATGGGAAGGAATTAATACTGAAAATATGAACACTAGTCAAGCAGTTTTGTTAGTCAACTAACTGTCTGCAATGGTAAGAAACAATTCAGAAAACCAACTTATGAACAGAAAATTTTTATTTTGTTTACAGTCTCCAAGGTTCAGTCCAAAATTAGTTGGTCAAGTTGGTTTAGGAGCACGTCATTGTGAGAGAGTGAGAGAGCATACCACAATAAAACCACTCACATCATGCCTGGGGGTAAGGAAAAGGAGGACACCAAGGTCCATAGCCCCCTTCCATGCCCAGTGACTAGAAGACCTCCCAGTAGGCACCACTGTGTAAGATTCTCACAGCAGTGCCAGTGGGGGATTAAGACTTTGTTAACACACGAGCCTTTAGGTGACAGTCCAGATGCAAACCATGACATGCATTCCAATGTTCAAAAAAGTAATCTAAACAAGGCTTTGTACTCAACATTCACAGCTATGTTATATTCTTAACAGAACTTATTTTTGAAGAATTACTATCTATATTATGATGAATGCTAATTTCTCTTTCCAGAAATACTATGAAAATGATGTAACTTTACTCCAGCATGACTTTCATTTTTAAAAGAGCCCAGCAATGATAATCAATTATTTGGTCACCAGGATTTAAGATCATACACCATTATCTAATAACGCTGTAACTTTAAATTTTCTCATGTTTGAAAAAGTCTTCCAAGCATCATATTGACTTTTCCATTTACAATATGCATGTCCCCCTCTCTACACTTGTCCCCAGTGCTCCTTGTCAGCAATTGAAAATCAACAACTTGTCTTAAAACTAAAAATATAGATTTAATGTATTTTACTACATTAGGATTTGCCATTTTCAATTTGATATATTGATGCTGTAAATCTGTTTACATCTACACATTCCACAAATATTTACTGTATTTTTATATTACTTGGTTTGACATTGGATACACTGAGGAAAACATACTCTCCAGAAAGTTATACATCCATGTGTAAGTCTGTGCCCAGAAAATAGAGGCCCATCAGGGAATAGTGCTCTTGAAGAGCCATGGGAATTCCCAGGCAGAGCGATCCCTAGGCAAGTCATCCCAGAACATAGGGATAGCATTTACCAAGGTACAAGGCTTAATACATATCCATGTCCAAGCCCTATTTAACAAGAATAACTGAACAATTATGGTTTTTTTTCAATTGCTCAAAACTTCTCTATGGCAAGGACGTACAGTCTCCAGGGCACAGTAACGTCTTCAAAATGTTCCAGACGTCTAGAATTTATTTAGATAGCTAAGAATTTATATAGAATTTATTTAGATAGCCAAGTCACTTAGCACTTGCATTACACTGTGATGACTGCTAGAGCAGTGTGCTATGATACTGTGTGCTCTGACCATAGGAAAAACAAATCATCATACCTCCACAGGAAATATCCAGGACTTGGTTTCTTTCAACTAGAAGCAAAAATATGACAGTGTCAAGAGCTGCTTGCTCACTGTCTCTCTTAAATAATAAACTACACAGTAAAAAGGGCTCCAACTAGGCCTCAAATAATTACAGAGGTTTTGGGCAGTGCTAGTCCCACGTCCCTTCCCACCATCTTCTCCCTAAGAATGACACTGATTAGCAGCTTGCTTCTCTGGCTATCAGAAATGTGCTCAACATAAATATCCTCCAATCATACACATAATAATAAGATTGTAGAAAATTCAACCATTACAAAAATGCAGTATGGAAAACATGATTACAATCCTAAGGTACTCACCAACTAGAATTATTTCACTTATACAGGTAGTAGATTCTGAATAGGCATAAATGATTTTTGTTCTATTTTGTTTTGTTTTGTTGTTTTGTTTGTCTTTTTGAGACAAGGTCTCACTCTGCAGTTCAGGCTGGCCTTAATTTCACCATGTTGGTCTTGAACTTGCAATGATTCTTCTGTCTCAGCCTCCCAAGTGCTGGAATTACAGGCATGTGCCACCACACCCGGCTGGCATAAGTTTCTTTTTATACTATAGATGATTTATATTATATGTGCTACTCTATATTTTTTGAATTTTATATCTAAGTTATGGCATTTAACATAGATGTTAATGATTGCAAAATTTTTGCTACCTATTATTCATTACTAACCTCAAAGTTTTGCATACATTATCTTGTAGGTATATACATGATGATTCAGAGGTTAACAGCTTTATAAACTGTGCAGTCACAGGAAAAAAAAAACTCGTAGACATGCATAGACAACTAACTCACCCTCTTCAGCTCTGATTCATGCTCAGTAATTTGTTTATTCAGTAATTTCTTTTTGATTCTTTTCCCACAGTTTTAACTTATCAAGAACCTCTCTCTCCAAAAGCACATTCTGTACTTCATCTAATTAAACTTTTACCAGTTGCTTCATTCAGCCAATATTTACCAAATGCCTCCTCGGTACAAAATCATAGAGAGGAAAAATTACAATCTTATTTGACCTGTGACCTTTCCAAGGACTAAGGTATTGCTACCTAATGATAGTGACCTCTTCACATCCTACATTTCACCTTGTCTCTTGGTGGGCTAAAGAATTCTTCTCTTTGCTTATTTTCTTTAGCCGATTTTTAATAACAATCTTTGAGAACAAGAAAATCCCCAACAGTAACAACTAACATATGGACACAAACAACAATAACCACTAAAAATGCAGTACACACAGGTGTTTTACCTTCTGCAAGAGTTTATTGTTGTTTACACAGATACTAATAGGTGTGTGCTATGAGTTCTTACAATTTGTGATTACATAGACCAATATATGTTTTTAAATTTCATTTTCTTATCAATTATTGGTGATATACAATATTTTGTGCACAATGTTAAATATCATCCACACTTATTAATCTAATACTCAGTTTAAAAAAACATTAATTCACTTGATATTTCCAGTATACCTCTGCTCAATCTCCAAAGGATTATGTTGAAGATTTTAAAAGATTTCTTTTCCATATTTAGGTTTACATTCCACTAGGATTTACTTAGTACATGGAATAGGGTGAGAATCCAGAGTTATTATTCTGTATAAGAAAATCCTTGCCTTCTCCTACTTATTGAGTCATTTTTTTCACTACCTTATTATGCTTCTTCTGATACGCCTAATTTTCATGTAAGTCTCAGCTCATCTATAAATCTATTTGTTACTCTTTTGCATGTATTTTAGTTTTTAAAAGTAAAATCTAATAATGTGTTGTATGGCAAATTCTTTACAGTTTACTCTCTGAGGCTCTCCCAAAGGTGCTCACTCTGATCTCAAACTTGCTGTTCTCTTGCTCCAGCTCTGGAAATAGCCAGGAATACAGGCACATGCCAGTGCACCTGGCTGCAAATTCTGTCACAAGAATTCATCACAAAAGTAGTAAATTTTAGATCTCTGCAATTTGAGTGTGTTGGCTTTCTAATTTAGACGCCAGATAAATGAGGTTAAAAACAATAGTTACTGTTACAAACAGCCTGGGCTCTGAATAAGGGTTACCGAGACACTAACAACCAATTTCAGAAATTTGTATTGTTCATTCCAAAAGACACTAATGCAATTTCCTCAGGCTGCCTGGATTGGTTTGGGGAAAGATCTGGTCAGTATGTAGTCTGCCAACGGTGTGGGTAAGTAAGACAGAGGAATATAGAAAAATTTTGCATCCCAGCCGCCAGAATATCGAGTACGAGGATACGCTGAGGTCAGAGCATGTTCCATGCAGTCAGTGACCAGGAATAGGTTTGTGCTACCAGCTGACAGCAACTTCTTAATTAAGCCATAAGAGTTAGCAATCATGTTCTTATGTTGTTTTTTGATTTTCTTTTGGGTGACTACTCAGTATAAAATGGAAACTTCCTACAATTTTTGTTTTTCTTGACTTATAATTTATACATCATACTAATGAGCCATGGAACATGCACAAAGAATAATTTTTGTATACTCTATGTTCTATTACCATAACCAAAATTCCATTTTAGAATAGTTGCATCATCCCCAAAAGAAACTGAGACTGTACCTCAGTTAAAGGCCACTTGCCTTCCATGTACACAGCCCTAGGTTTAATTCCCATCACAAAAGAAAAGAATATTTTAAAAAAAACCTGTGCGCATTTGTATTCTTTCTATTGTCTCATCAACCACCAGCCAAGGCAACCACTAATTTGTTTTTTATCTCCATAGATTTGTCCTCCCTGAGCATTTCCTGGCAATCATGTGGTCTTCTACTAGCCTCTAGTCTAATGTAGTATATACCAGAACTTGACTCCCTTTCATTGCCAAATAACACTCCATTGAGTGGCTATTGTTTTATCTGATGTTTGGATTGTTTCTACTTTGAGGCTACTATGAATAATGCTGTTGACAACTATATATTTGATTAACAATCACTAATATAGATATTGTACTTGCTAGGAAAATTTAGTATCCAACTTGATAGTCCATATAAGTATAAAACAAACAGTAATGACATAGTCTAATATAAAACATATACAATAAAAATAACATATTAATAGTGTTTATAAAACTGCAGTGGGTTATAGTGGATAAAATAAAAACAGTGCTATAATAGTTCACATATTTCTTTGTCTTTATTTTTTCCCCTCAATGCTGGGGTTCAAACCCAGGCTTAAATAAGAAGCATGAATGTTGCACAATTAAGCCACACCTCCATGCTTTTTCTTATTATGCTTAAGAAGGCTACAAAAATTTAACATTGCACATGTGGCTCATATTCTATGTCTATTGGACAACACTGATCTAAATATTCAGATCAATGGACAAATATCAGATATCTATATATACAGATATAGATAGATAGATAGATAGATAGATAGATAGATAGATAGATAGACAGATAGATAGATAGATGACACACTTTCATGTTTTCCAGTGTTCTACTGATTTCTATTTCAATACTCTATGGACCCAGAGGGAAGCAAGTTCCCTAGAAGTAGAGAATCTGAGGGGAGAAAGAGCAAATAATAATGGCCAACCTCTAGCAGATTGGAAAACACTTTCCTCTCTAACCAGTATGAGTTCTGAGAGGCTACAGCACTTTCTGCTCAGCCTTTCTTGATCCAACTTCTTGCTTCTCTGGTGCTGGTGATCTCTTAGACTGGTATGACCAGAAGACAGCATCTAGGTCAAGAGTTTTCCACAAATGGATCTTCCCTTGCTCCTTTTCTCTGAACTGCACTATCTCCCAAAGACAGGGCCAGGGCTGCTGCTATCACCACAGGGCCTTTTCATGCAAATTTGCCATTTGCTGACTCTGGAAAAGTATCCCTTCCCTCAAGGAGGTATAGATTCACACCAATGTGGATGATTTACTTCTACTAAGAGGCCAGCTTTGCCTGCAACCCACACCATCCACTCCTTCAGGTAACCAGAATCATGGTCTTACCTGAAATTAAATTATCTCACTCCCACAAGGCTCTGTAACTTTGTATATGAGAGGTATAGTCCCAGATATAGCCTATTAGACCATGCAGACAGGATCCTCTCCCCAATTACATCCTTACATCCTGTCAAAATTTGTAACCAGGAGAGCAGACACATTGAAAATTGCACATCAGTCATGTAGACATCTCATGACAGCCCTGCTGAACACTCAAAATGCCCTTCTCTCATGACAAGAGATTCCACAGCCCTAACCAAGGATCATCCCCTTCCACCCAGAGGGTCAGCCCATATGTGATACATTAGGTTAGGGATGGTACTGGCACAGGGTTTTCTCTGTGCCTTTCAGCAACAGTGAAGACCAAACCATTAATACACTGGGACTTTACTGACTCCCTCTCATCTTCACATAGTGTTTTAAGAACTATTGTTTTCACTGTATCTGCAAATCATTTTCCATTAACCCCCTCCTTCTCTTCTAATACAACCATATACCCTTTCCCTATGGGGAAAAAAACTTACAAGTATCGAAGTAGTGCTGTCCATAGGATTTCTTAATATGCATGGGTGCTTCATCCCAGGCTTGCTTCGCTCTCTCTAAGGATCGCTGCATATCCGTCATTTCTGTTTTGAAGCTACCAGGTTCAACCACGCTGACTTTCACCCCAAAACCTTTCAGTTCACGCCTGAAACAAATCCATCAAGTTAACTCCATTGATTGAATGAAACACAAGGCCATTTCAATGTTCTCAAGGAGGAAAACACAAAACAAATCAAAAAGATTATTTAAAAACCTCAACTGAGTATTTTAAAAGATAAAGGAATGGAAAGAGAAACATAAAAATTTAAACATCCCCAGATTCAACAGCTGATGACACCATCATCCCAACTATCATGACCATTAAATTCTAAATGGCTTTACCAAAGAATAAAGTACCTACCTGTTCCACACACTGGAGGTGTCATAAATAAAAATTATAATAAAAGAAACAATACTGATTATTACTGGTACAGTGGTAATCATCTTACACTAGCAATTATACCCTGTTTAGACTCAATTCTTCACTTAAAAGCTTACAACGGGCAAGTCCAACAGGGAACCTCACAAGTGCAAGAAAATTCAAAAGAACTACACAGTTTGGGTAGTGTAGCTCAGGGTACAGTACATGCTGGACATGAAAAAATGTCCTGGGTTTAATCAACACCTCTGGAAAACAAAGAAAGAAGAATAAAGGAAAATTATTCAAGGAACTATTCAAGAGGTACAAAAGTGTTGCAAAGAAATTTCCTGACTTAGTCATGAAGCCTTCAGTGAAAAGAAGACATTTCAGGTTAGCCTTGAATGATAAAGAGGACTCTCCAGGTGAAGAAAGAGGAAGAGTACCCCAGCTCACAGCGGGCTGCTCAGACAAAAACATTTCCTCTGGGAAAATTAATCTGTTCAAGGGCTATAGAAAATATTTGTGGGATAAATTGTGGACATTATGAATGCTATCATTATACATCACTTCTTGTAAGTTAATCTTCTTTAATGTTTGCTGGTACATATTTATATTTTAGGAACAACAATAAATATCAGTATTTATTTAAAAGATTACAAATGATAGTTCATTCCAGAATATTCCTGTTAACTCTGGGGTGTTTTGTTTTGCTTGCTTTTTTTTCTTTTCTATTTTTGGAGGCACAGTTTCACTATGTATTGCAGGCTGACCCTGAACTCATTTTGTAGTCCAAGCTGGCCTCAAACTCACAGCAATCCTCCTGCTTCAGCTTCCCAAGTACTATGATTACAGGCATGCACCGCCACATCCAGCTCCTGTTAGTTCAATGAATAGTTACAGAAGTTCTCCTGAGGAGCTCACTCTGTGCAAAGAACCTACAGAGCACAGCCTGCACCAACTCAAGCAAGACAGCAGAATGCATCTCGGAAAGTGTGGCTACCAGTACTCTGGCCATGGTGATAAGGGCTGCTGCAGACACTACAACCAAGCTTGGTGGCAAAGCTGAACCTGAACTGATGTCAAGGAAAAATGTGTAAAAAAATGGTCTATAAAGAAGAGAGAACACAGCATGTTACATCCCTTAAAGCAGTGGTCCTCATAGTATATACACTGGATCAATAGCATCAAAGCCTCCTTGAAACCTGTCAAAAATTCACCTTCTATCAGGCCTCAGTATGTATTAAACAAACCAGAAACTCTAGTTGTGAAACTTAGCAACGTATTAGAGCAAACTCTGCCAGTAATTTGAGTCACACTATGGCTTAGTTGGGTTTGGTGGGTCATATCTGTAATCTTAGCCAGCATGTTGTCTACGACTTTGGCAATATTCTACTCTAACACCCAGTCCAAATGTAAGACCAGACTTCTTTTCCCTGCTCATTTTAACATGGCTAAGGACAACTTGGATATTCTAAAGAACTGAACAGTGATCCAAATGCTGAAAGCATATTCCTTCACTCTTGCTGTGGGGATGAGTCAAAGGGCCTAAAAGGTCATTCATAGGGTGGTGGTAAATCAGTGGGCAGCAGTTCTGTGTGGGTGGATAACACACAGAACAGGCACGAAATCAAGTGCAGTGCCTGCCACATAGGATCCACTGATGTAATTTCCCTGTGCCTTCCTGAAAGATAAACTAACACACATTACACAAGACATACACCAGTTTTGTCATGTGTTCGATTAAATAATGGTCCCCAAAGATATCACACCCTATTCCATGGATCACCTAAAGTTACTTTTTGTAGCAAAAAAATTTCCAGATGTGGTTAAGGATCTAAGAGCTAGGAAAATAATCCTAAATTATGTGACAGGGCACACTAAATATAATCCACAATTGCCCTTATAGGAAAATTAGAGGAAGAACTGGACTTAGGGAAGTACCCATGTAATGTCAGTATTGAGGCAAGAGGATTTCAACGTTGAGATCAGCCTGAATGACATAGTCACTCAGAAAGATAAAACTCCACCAAAAGACTTCTAGATTCCATAGCTAAATTCAGCAGCATAGCTAGATACAAAGTCAAAACTCAGAAATCAGTAGCATTCCTGCACACAAATAACAAACTCACTGAGAGAGGAATGAAGGAAACCACACCTTTCACAATAGTATTGAAAAACTGAAATAGGAATCAATCTAATGAAGGAAGTAAAACACATTTATACTGAAAACGACAATACTCTGAAAAAGAAAGTCAGAGAGGTTATCATAAAATGGAAAGATATCCCTTGATCTTGAGTAGAAAGAACCAATATAAGAATAATGGTTCTTGAAAAATGGTGGCTTGCTAGGGGATCGAGCGAAGAGTCTCTCTGGAGGATTCATACTAGAAGCTAAAAAATGACAACATGGTGAGGGCCAGACAAATCGATAGTGATTCTTATTAACCAAGACAGTACAGCTGGAGGATTTAAAGTCATGCTGAGACCGTGAATGCTGATAACGGGAGGCTGCAAATCCCGCGCCTTTAAATCAACAAACTGACCCGTGGACCCAGCAGGAAAAGCTGTGTTGCTTTTGGTGACTGCGGGAAACTGAGACCCAGGACTCCAAGTAGCAGCCAGGACTGCACCGCTGCACCAGAGAAGATGTACAAGGCTCTGGCATTTCAAATCTAAACAGTGCACAGATATCTGACCATTCTGCGCTGTGCCGGGAGCGCACGCTGTGCACCGTTCTGCGCTGTGCCGGGAGTGTGGGAAAGGTGGGCAGCTTGGTGTGCGATGGTCCTGGAATGAGGACCTGCGCTGGACTCTGGTGAGTACTGGGAACCCCGCAGCTGCTGGGGTTGGCCAGAGAATAGCTGGCCCGCCACCACGGGGAAATCAATAATACAGAGTCTGGTGGCAGACATTTTAGTCTGGCAGCAGAAACTGCAGCGCGGTGAAATCACCAGGTCCCCCTGTAGGGAGGGCTGGTGGAAGACATCTTGAAAACTGGCAGAGCCTGATTATGTGCTGGCTTCAGCTCCACACAGAGAACTTAGTGGGAGACATCTTGGTTTGGGGCAGATCTGCTATTCTGGTGCTCCTGTCACAGAGAGGTTTGGAAGAGAGCGGCTGGGATTTGGGCAGAACCCTGTGCCATAGTGACATTACTCAGCTGCTTCTGGTACAAAGAGAACTGGCAGGAGCTACTGGGGCTAAACCAAGCCTCTGCTTGGGGCCCAATAAGCAGATACAAAATAGTCACAACTCAGTGACAACCAGAAAGTACAGCCTAATTTATGAATTAACTGGCACAGAGGCTAGAGACTAGCCTGTACCACCCCCTGCATCCCAGCCTACCCCAGATAACAGTAAATTGGGGAGGACAGCAAAAACTCAAGCCAGCATGCTTCTGAAAGGCCCTAAGCAATTTGGAGAGGGCCAGAGAACTCCAGGACAGTCTGAAAGAAACCAGAAACATGACAAGAGATAAAAATTTTAAAAAATCTCCAGCTGCCCAACAGGAGAAAATAAGCCCAGGAGAACTAAACACTGAAGAGAACAAGCATAGTAATCATCCATTACTCGAAACAGCATCAGCCGAAATTAAAAAGTACCTACATGATCTCATAGAGGAATTTAAAGCTGTACTCCTGATCCAAATGAGGCAAGATATAAAGAGATTAATTAAAGAAATGACAAGCCCCACCCAAGAGAACACAGACAGAAGAACTGAGGAAATCAGAAAAGAAAGAGAAACTTCTGAAGAAGAATTTAAACATAACTTAGAATACATGAAACAGATCCAAAGAGAATATCAGGAAACTAAAAACTCCATTGAACACTGGCAAAATGCCTTGATAGAAACTAAAGACAGCCTTCTGAAACTTGAAGAGAGATGTAGGGCATATGAACGTGAAAGAAAAAGCCTCTTAAAAATAACAAGGAACCAGAAAGAAGCAATTCAAAAACTGGAGGATGACAAAAAGATACATAACCTAAGAATAAAGAATGTGAGTAAGGAAGCAGGAACATCCAAAAATGAAATACAAAAAATATTCACAGATATATTAAAGCAAAATTTCCCATGTATAGCAAAAAGAAATGATATCCAGATAAAAGAAGCATACAGAACACCAGCTACCTACAACCAAAACAGATCTACGCCTAGACATATAATAATCGAGATCCCAGAAATCCACCAAAAGAACAGAATATTAAAAGCAGCCAGAGAAAAGATGCAGGTTACCTATAACGGGAAAACTATCAAAATAACAGCAGACTTATCAACACAAACTCTTAAGTCAAGAAGGGAGTGGGGAGAAATATTCCAAGTCCTGAAAGAAAAAAATATGCAACCAAAGTTCATATACCCATCAAAACTCTCTCTAAAAATTAATGAAGAAATAAGATACTTTCAAGACAAGGAGGAACTGTGGGAGTTCGTGGCCACCAATCCAACCCAACAGAGAGCGCTGAAGGACATTACAGAGAAAGAGAGGAAGAGATACCAGGATTCCAGCAACAGTGGCAGAGAGGCCTCAATGAACGGGGCAGACAATGGAATGAGGGAATAAGGTGGACAAATTATAGCAGAAAAGTGGAGTAGCAGACATGAGGCAGAGACGGTAAGCTATAGTCTTTAGTATAGACAGCTCTGAAACTATATTTTAAAAAAAGCAGAGGTCATTGCTAATGGTGTATAACGATTTAAAAGACACAGTAGTCCTAGTGCCATATTTAGATTGAATTTAATTTGG